TTCCAGAAACCTTTCCTGAAGGTTTGGATCCAGAAGGTCCACGAATATCAAGGGAACCCGTAGTGAAGTAAATGCCCCCGCTGCCGCCTACACTCGGAAGCGTGACACAGCAACGTCCGCGTGCGGACAGGTCCCACTCAGCGCTTTCCACGGCGGGGGGACAGGCCGGCGAGCGAGCGAGCGAGCGAGCGAGCGTGAAAGGCTCAGGGCGCCCGGCAGCCCGGCGACGCGGCTGCAGCAGGAGCGCTAGCCCAGCGGGCGCCTGTCCCGCGCTGCCAGGACGCGGCTCGCAGGACGCCAGGGCTCTGCGGCTCTAGGCGCGCCCCGCGCCGGGCCAGCCCGCCTCCGCACCGTCAGCCCTCTCCCTCGGGCAGCGCCGACTGAGCCAGGGCTGGGCATCTGATCCCCGGGGACTACAGCTCGGCGAGACTCAGATATCCTGTCCCGCAGACTCCCAGATCCAGTGACTGCAAAGTACCCAGTCACTAAGCCCTTCAAACTCAGCCATGCCTTTTAAACAGAGGGCACTTACAGTCATGTTCTCTTACAGCGAGGTTCTCTTTTAGTGAGGCCCTCAGCCAAGAGCAAATATTTCTAATTAAAGACATGAGGCTAATATAAAGACTCAAAATAAGGTATAATGAATGCTATCTTATTCACTATTCTGATTACTACTTAATTTTCATTTTTGAAAATTTTCATTTTAATAAGTATATCTTTAAAAAGTCAGTGTTACAAATACTGTTTGGTTTATAGTCAGGAAAACCCAATTATGCTGTGTGCAACTGACCCACTTATATCCTAACTTTTTAAAAATGTATTTAGGACACGGTCTACAGGATCTACAGGGTCTCGCTATGTAGATCAGACTCTTAGTGATTCTCCTATTTTCAGCCCCCCAAGTGCTGGGATTACAGGCACACCCCACCATGCCCAGTCTTGGTCGCAGTCTCAGCACACCCGAGGTGAGGCCAGCATGGCAGGCCAGGGATCAGATCCCCAGCCCCTGTGTGTGCCTAAGCAGACTCTTTAATCCGCTAAGCTATCTGGCCAGCCCCCTAATATTTTTTTCTTGTATGACTTTTTGGTTTTTTAGTGATTTTGTTCCATTTACTGAGCTCCCTCTGTGCCTATTTCCTCACTCTCCACCGAGAGGTATTAAGGGGTCATGAAATTGTCATCTCATGGTGAATGGGAATTTTCATTTTTTCCCTGGTGATGCATGTCCCATTGTAGGGTGCAGTTGCTCTAAAGGCCTGCGATGTGGCCTCCCCTCATGACCGCTGTGGTGAATTTTAAAGGTCACCTTGGCCAGGTTAAGGTATGCTGAGCTGGTAGAACATTCCTATGTAGCTCTGTGGCAGTGTCTGTGGAGCAGATTATCACCTGAATGGGTGAACTAAGTCAAAAGGCGGTTGTGTAGGCACCGTCTGACCCAAGCAGAGAGGGCCTGGGGTCAAGGTTTGCTCTGGCTGGTGAAGCTGGGGCATCTGTCTCCTGTCCTCAGTGCTTGGACCACAGTGCTTCAGTTTTCAGGGCTTTGGACTCAGCCCAGGACTCACAGCTTCCCAGGGACTGTGCTGTCTTGTTTTCAGATTCCTACTTTCAGTAAGTTTTTTTTTTTAAAGCCATAGTTCCTTATGGAAGTCCTACAAGGACAATACAGTTGGGTATAAAATTGACTCTGGATTAATTTTTCCTACAAATGTAATACCTGCATCTTGCCTTCCGGGTCTGGCAGGATAGGACACTGAGTTCTGATCCCCAGTCTTCAGAACACACCTTATCATTCTCTCTGTGAAAGTTTAGGATCTTTGAATTATCCCTGGAACTCTGAAATTTCATGACTGTTAGGTAACCAGAAAAGACATGAGAGCAGTTATCGCAAAGCAGGAAATTTTTAAAATCCACAATCCCAACTCATAACAATAGTTCCTATTCCTACCAGAGTGAAAAAAATCACATAGTTTCCTGGGGACACTGAGTAAAGAATTTAAATGAGTACAGTGCTGCCACAGCACTGGGACTCATTTAGTCACACATGAACAGTTGGAGTGGTTCTACCTAACAAAGATTAAAATCAAGCTTCAAAATGACAAAATTGTTTGCAAGTGAGTAAATTTCATGACTAGCATCCTATAAACAAATAGCAGGTATACAAAAATCAGGAAACTGTGATCCATAATGGAGTTAAATCAGGCACAGAGAAAAATGCCAGAAGTGTAAGTGATAGACCTAGTACACAAGGACATTTAAATTACAACATTGTGTTCTGTATGTTTAAGTAGCAGTAGGGAAGACTGAGGATGCTGAGACATGGAAAATGTAAAACACACACACACACCTAAAACAAACTACTAGATATAAAATTCCAAGGTCTAACATAAACCATCTGATATCAAAAAGGCAAATTAATGAACATAAAGGCATAGCAACAAGTATGAGCCACAAGAAAATGCACACAAAGAAAAGCTTAAAAAGTACAGCAAAAGTGAGCTGCAAGGAAATGGCATGTGGGTGAATACACGGGCACATAACCCCAGGAGCCAGCTAAGGAGAGGAGCAAGGGTCACTGCGGCGCACACCTTCACTCCCAGGAGAGGTGCAAGACCAGGAAGGGAAGTATTTGAAGAAATAAGGGCGATGCCTGCATTCGTCTCGCTCACTGTGGTACTTCTAGCAAAATGTCTGGCAGACACTGAATAAGCATTTACTGAACACAGTTGTCGCAGGACAAATGGTGATGCTCGTGTAACTCTGCAGGGAAGCAGGACCCCACGAGAAGGGGAGGAGGCAAAGGCTCTCATCCCAACCCCAAAGTGAGCTCAGGTGAGTGTGTAACACACTTGGGGAATGGGAGCTTATAAAGGGCGCTCCTCCCAGCACTGAGGGAGACTGAGGGAGGAAGATCACAGGTTCAAGTCCCTCCAGGAAAAGCTCATCTCCAAATAACAAGGGCTGGGTACAGTTCAGTGACAGACAGCTCTTGGGTTCAGTCCCCATCGCAGCATGGGTTGGTGGCACCCGACTGTGCTCCCAGTACTGTGCCAGGCTGAGGCAGGCGGGCCACGGGCACCAAACATGCAAGACGCACCAAGGCACCGTCCTCCCGGCCCTACCTAGCTACCTTTAGTGCTCTGTACTTTCCACACCTGCTCCAGATGTGGGGGAAGAGAACTAAAGAGAGTACTTTCCATATCTTATTCCATCACGTAACTCTCACCTAATCCTAGAGTTTAAGAAGATCAGGCACTCCGGTAGGCTGAAGCAGGGGAATCACAAGTTTGAAGCCATTTGGTACAACTTGGGGAAACTATGTCTCAAAACTGAAAAAAAAAAAAAAAAAAAAAGGCCTGAGGATGTAGCTCAATGTGAAGGCCCAGATTTCAATCCCTGTTACTCTCAAAATAATAACAATAATAATAATAATAATAATAATATAAAGGACCGCAGAAATAGGTCTCGCGGTACAGCTAGGGAAACTAAGGCCAAGAGAGGTTCAAGTAAAGAGACTAGGGTCACAAAGCTGCCAAGGATCAAGCTGCCTAACTCTTGTGCAGGAAGCAAAGCAGTCCAACCGACAGACTCCGGCGCGCACACCCAGGCGGTAACCAGGATCGGAGGACACTAGCTTTTGAAGCCACGGGAACCGGAACCGGAACGTGGTATCAGTAGGGTCTCGCGTCCCTGTCTGAGATCTCGCGATACTTTCTCCCCACACTTCCGGTGTCCGCCAGGCCCCGCCCCGTCGCCACCGCTGCCGTCTAGGCGTCATTTCCGGTGGGCCTCCATCCTGGAGAGACAAGATGGCGGCGCTGGGAGAACCTGTGCGGCTGGAGCGGGGTGAGTGCGACCGGGCGGGCACCCAAGCGGGAAAGAGCCGGGTCGACGGCGAGGAGGACAACGGAGGCGAGGCAGCCGCCAGGCTCCGGGACCCGAGCCAGCCTGTCCTCGATAAGGGCCGGGGCCGTCGCTCGCCGGGTCGGTTCGGGCAGGACGCTTCCTTGCTGGGCTTCCGCGGAGAGCGGGACCCGAGTGCGATCGCGCGGAGTGACGGCCCTGGGGGTGAGGTCGGGGCGACCTTTTCCTGGGGAACCCGCGAGGCCGACGAACAGGTGTCACCACCCTGGCAGTGTAGCCGATCTCGGGGAACGCCGGCCGCCGCGCACTGCCTGCGGCGCGGCCCTGCCCGCCCGCCCGTCCCCGACACGCTCGCCGCAGCACCCCGCCGCCCGCCTCGGCCTGAGGCGCTCGCGGGGCCTCCCAGCTTCGGTGCCCTCCGGGACGCGGAGAGGGCGCTTTGCAAACGATCCCGCTGGCCTAATCCTGAAGCGGAGGTTACGTAAGCAGCAGGGGATTGCAGCCACTTGCGGATTCGGGGACACTGCCTTACAGATCCTACATTTGTAGACTGTGGCTGCGGCTGGTGGCGTCCTGGAGACCGATGGTCTAAGAGCACGAACCTGTGTAGATAGCAAGCCCCTCCCAGGCTCCATGTTACACAGTCCAGCGGTCCGCTCTGTGCTCCCCAAGGCCTTTGTTTTAGACAGTTAAAGTACGCCTTTGGCACCAGCATTAGCAGTCCGAGGAGATGGTCAGCAGGTACCAAGTCAACCTTTTGAGCACTACTGATAAAGTGTAGCGTAGAGTTTGCAGTTACCTTGTACATGCTAACATGTGCAATTTCTGTCTGAATATTAATATTTGTAAGAAGGGTATACATTTTTAGAATTGTCCAGAGAGCCATCTCTGTCCTCAGGCCTTCCCGAGGGAAAAAAAAATGGGCATTTAGAGTTGTTAGCATGACCTTATGATGCTCACTGTTGGGAAAGGTGCTTTGCGTGTGAGATTGTGCTTCCAGCCCCCACGTCCCTGATGAAAGCATTGTTTTACGGCAGAAGAGAAGTTACTTGGGATACTTGGTGGGTTAGGCTGGAGACTGACCTGTTCCTTCTCCGACTCAGATGGTGGTGATGAGTGTGAACAGGAGGCGGTGTTTTTTCTTTGAAACCAGAGCTGTAGGGTTTTTTGTTTTTTTAAATGTATGTAGTATAGAGTCTCACTACACCGATTGGAGTTGCATTGATTCTGTTTTCAGCCTCCCAAGCACTGGGATTACAGGCTTGCACCACCATGCCCAGTCACAATCACTGTCTCAGCATGCCTCCGGCAGGGCCAGCGTGCCACGCTGGGATTGAACCCCCATCCGTGCAGCTGCCTAAGCAGGCGCTTTAATCTGCTGTGCTGTCTGGCCAGCCCCAGAGCTATAACGTTCTAATGTGTTGGCAGTCTTTTGTAGTTTTAAATGCAACACAGAAGGTGGGACCTCACCCTGTGACATTTAGCTTGGAAAGTTGTTGCTCTGTGTTTTGCTACTACAGAGTTCTTAGTTGTTTTTAGTTCTCTCAAGAGTACTCAGCGCCTAGGGGCTGGTGAGATGGCTCAGTGGTCTAAAGCACCTACTTAGAACAAGCTTAGTAAAGCACAGGGACCGCAGTTCAATCCCCCAGCACCACATACCAGCCAGCCCTGGTGGGCTGAGCTGGCCACACACACACACACAAATAAAAAATAAATGTTTAAAAAAAATAAAAGCATTATTAAAAAAAAAAAAAAAAGAGTACTCAGCGCCTTGGTAGGGATTAGTAATTAGTGATGGCCGGTCAGCAGGATAAGAAGGTCTGATTGCATCGAGTCCGATTCTTAATTCAGGATCCTAATAGACTCATAACAAGTATAACCAGCAATCCTACAGGACAGAATAAGTGCATATTACAAGATCTTAAGTCACCACAATATAATTCATTGGAGCACAGTTTAAGTGCATAATGGGTAAGATTAGATTTGGTAAAGAGTGCTTTACTTTTCTTTGTCTTTTGTCAGTTGAATTTTACTTATTTATTTAGAGACCCCAAGGATCAAATCTAGGGCTTCATGCATGCTAAGCAAGTTCTTCACCTTTGAGCCACACCCCGGTCCCCTGATCCTGTTGCTCAAATGTTTTTATATGACTTTCATACTGTGACTTAATAACCCACTAGCCAGTGAACCCATTTGCCAGTCATTTTGCTCCTGGGAACTCAGAATGTAAAAGGTCTGTCTCCGTTGTATTTGATTAACATTCAGGTTAAGCTTTTATTAACTGAAATTGAAAAAACTCGATGTTCTGAGTTTATTATAGCATGTAGGAACACCTGAGGATAATGTCCGAGGTCACGGAATAAAACAGTAGGTATCCCAAAAAGGGGCGAAAAATCACATCGTAGATATTCACCAATAGTATGGCAGCATCTGAGTCTTCTGTGGGTAATTCCTAGCACACAGCCTCCTCCTGCTTCAGGGACAGTTGTGTGCCGTGTTGGACGTACTGTGTAACTGTGTGTTTAGGAGCGGTGGGGCCAGTGCGCCGTGACACGGCCTGCTTGCCAGGCCCCCTCCTGTGTGGTGCTGCTTCCGTCCCCGGGCATCGCAGGAGGAGAGCAGTTGTTTCCACACGACAGTGAGAGAGAGATGCAGGAGGGGAGGGCTTGCCCAGATTGACAAGGCTAAATGTTTTCCTTTTCTGACATGGAAACAAGTATTTGATTGAGCAGGTCTGAATTAAAACCCTTAGCGATCCTAAGCAGAGCCCACAGGCCCGCTGAAATCATCCGTACGTGCTGCTACCAAGTGTGTCCTGGCCGCTGGCTGCCCTGCGGCTGCACATGCATCAGGCTGCGGTGCCTCTTAGGTTCATTAAGTAAATGTTTATTGGCTAATAGTTCCTTAGATACTGCTAGTGCTAGCATGTCTGGTGCAGCACAGGTTGCTGTGTGTCACACTTGAGCCCCTGTCCTCTCCTGTCAACTTGGTGTCTTAGAGTCGTGTGGCTCTTAGATTGTTGTTTGGAGCTGTACTTCTGTAATACCAGCAGTTTTTTCTAATCTGAAATTCATTGCACTCTAATTTTGCCGTCGCGTTCTCCATACACATACATCGATGCTTTCCCCCTGTCTACTACGTCCTGTTTGTCCCTGGAGTGTGCCCTCACAGGTACAGTGTCACGTCTGCCCTTGGTGCTCCTTGGAGCAAACCCTCTGAGTCAGTCTCGCTTGTTGGTCCGCAGATATCTGCAGAGCGATCGAGCTGCTGGAGAAACTGCAGCGGAGTGGGGAGGTGCCGCCGCAGAAGCTGCAGGCACTGCAGAGAGTCCTCCAGAGCGAGTTCTGCAACGCTGTGCGAGAGGTGACGTGGGTTTGCCATGCATTCGCCAGGAGGGTGGGTGGGTTGGTGTCTGCCGGGCCAGATGCCCAAGCCAGGATTCAGAATGTCATAAGAAACAAGCTTTGGAAAACCATTAGTTGTCATTCCTCTCATGTTTTGGGATTTTTAATAGAAAAATGTTCGGTTTTTTAAATTAATTTTTTACTGAATGTCAGTGATTTTTACAAAACAAATGTCAATTACAAGAGTTGAAAGAAAAATGTTGGCTGGAGAGATAGCTCAGTGTTCTAAGCACCTGCCTGGCAAGTGCAAGGTCCTGAGTTCAATCCACAGTAACACATGCCATGGCAGCCCTGGAACTGGGTGTGGGGCGTGCATACCTGTAATCCCAGAACTGGGGAGGCTGAGGCAGGAAAATCATTATGAATCTGAACTTTGTAGGGAGACCCTGTATCAAATAAAGAAAGAAAAAAGTTTTACCAAGGTGTGTAATTTAGCTTAAAATTCCTGTACATTCGTTAACACCCCAGAGAACCAACACCCCTTAAGCTCCGTGTCTCACTGGTGCCCCTCTGGCTTCCAGGTGTATGAACATGTCTACGAGACGGTGGACATCAGCAGCAGTCCTGAGGTCAGGGCCAACGCCACCGCCAAGGTGAGGCTTTTCATTTTCAAAGCAAGAATTCTTCGTATGTGAGAGGCTTGAAATAAGCAGATGCTAAATGCATGATAAATGAATTTTAAAAACTAGCATACAGAATCTTTCAGCATCTGCTACATTTGTGGAAGTAGGACGTTTTCCTTGGCTTTGTATGTTTACTCGTGCAGTACAGATACGGAATTGAAAGTTTTCCCCAAGCCCACGTCTAAGTGCCCCGGGTACCCAGCTCTCCCTGTCTGTGTAGAATGTCAGGGAGGCATGGAAATGGGTTTACCAGCCTTGAATGGGAAGAAGAAGCGGTGGGGCAGAGTGCACACTGGGGGTGCTGTTCATCCGAGGGAACTGCCTCTGGGCAAGTTTGCACGCCCCTCCAGAGGTGCACAGGTGTGAGCTTGGTGTGTCCCCTTGCACACCACCCCCTAGTGCAGGCATGAGCTCGGCGTGTTTCATGCTCAGAAGACGTGTTTGTACTAAGTCATACTAGAATAAGTTATGAGCCAATAAAGTATTTTTTAAGAGATGGAAGAACACAAGTGGACAGGGCTGCAATTAATTCTGTGAGCTTTCTCCCAGGCCACTGTGGCTGCATTTGCGGCCAGCGAGGGCCATTCCCACCCCCGTGTCGTGGAGCTGCCCAAGACAGAGGAGGGACTCGGCTTCAACATCATGGGGGGCAAAGAGCAGAACTCACCCATCTACATCTCACGAATAATCCCGGGTGGGATTGCAGACAGACACGGGGGCCTCAAGCGTGGAGACCAGCTGCTCTCTGTGAATGGTGTGGTGAGTCACTGCGGTGCTGTGGTGGGTCGCGTGGGGGTGCACTCAGGTTAGAGGAAGGGCTCCCCGGGCGTCCTCGGGGCTGGTGCTCCTCTGGCTCCGAAGTGAGCCCGGGGGCCAGGGAGCTGAGTGCTGCAGCTGAGCTCCACCCGGCCCAGCAGTTGTAGTGTGAAGCCCTCACAGTGGGACTCAAGTCGCGGAGGCCATGTGGTGGGGCTCAGTGCACAGCTGCGGCAGGCTCTGGAGTTGGAGACCCACCTGCGTGATGCTGTGCAGGTGCAGCTGCGTGGCTGGCCCCTAACGGGCGGGGCGGGGGCCAAGTGCAGTGATGTGCCTCCTGGGGTCTTAAAAGCTGAGTCCCAGACAAGGACACTAGGACGCAGTGTCGTGTGGGTGTGATGGAATGCAAGACCACCTTCCAGCCTGGCCGCGACCTGCAGGTAAAGCTGCGTGGCCTGCGCTCAGTCCGTGCCTGTGCTTTCTCCCAGAGCGTGGAGGGCGAGCACCACGAGAAGGCTGTAGAGCTGCTGAAGGCCGCGCAGGGCAAGGTGAAGCTGGTCGTGCGCTACACCCCCAAGGTCCTGGAGGAGATGGAGTCGCGCTTCGAGAAGATGCGGTCAGCCAAGCGCAGGCAGCAGACCTAGTGTGCGCGGCGGCGCACCAGCGACGCCAACAGCAGACTTCCCGCGAACCCTCCGTGCATTTTGTAAACGCCTCTTTTCACATCACGTGTGGTTCCAGAAATGCATACACTTTTTTGTGACAAGAAAAAGTCAAAGGTGATGAGGACAGTTCCGTCCTGCTGTTTTTACAGGCCTTTTTCAAATACAGATTTTGTCATAAAGTTGTTATAGATTTTTAAAAATGCTTTTTTAATATTAAGATGTACTTTTACATTCTTAATCTTTTTTTAAGAAAAAAGTTCTCATTTGGCTACTTATTAAAAGTAACAGTTTTTCTATTCTTTTTTTTTTTCTTTTTTTTTTTTTTTTTTTTTTTTTTTTTTTTTTGGTTTTTAATCCTATGAAATTTCTTTACAGTTTTCCAAGAAATTACACCCAGTAGTGTCACCGATAGTGGTTCATTACACTGTCGACATTAGCATCATTACTGCATTTTGTACTTTGAATACAAATGTACTACACGTAACCGACAGAAGGACAGAGCTCGGCACAGTGGAGGGTTTTTACTTTCATTTGAACATAAGACATTCATTTATACTGGTTTGTAAGAGTAGGTTTTTAAACACTGAAGCAATCATTGCTAAACTCTTCTTTCATACTGAGCAAGGAGGCCAGAGGACGAAATCCGGTTGTTAGTGTCTTGATATTCCACAACAGATTGTACGTGCACAACTCCCACCACAGGCACTTCTGGCGCAGCCCGCCCTCCCCCCTTCGCCCTCCCCTGCCCCTTCTGTCCCTCCCTCCTCGCCTAGACCTGAGCCAGGTTCTTGGAGGTGAGGGAGGCAGAGGAGAGACGGCCGCCTCCAGCCTCTCAGGCCTCGGGCTCCGTATCCTTCCGACCACAGAACCAGCTCAAGAAAAGAGGAGGATCGGATGGGGATGCGCAGCAAGGCGAGGGAAGCGGGCCGAGCCGGGACTGCACTAAGCCGCACAGGCTTTCCTGGGACTCACTGGGAGGGAAGAAGATGTCGCTGTCCTGCCGAGAGCACGCGCAGGGTGCCTGTGCCTGTAGACCGCACTCCAGCGACAGGAAAGACTTAGTGTTCCTTTCCACGCTGCACTGACAGGAAGACCTGGACTGCAGAGCGCAGGCGGCAGATTCTGGGAAGAAGGTGATGACTGAGAAATACAAAGATTCTGGCCTAATTACACGCCTGGGTTTAAAAAGAGAAAGTGGGCATTTGTTAGCATTGCTTCAGGAAGGGTAGAAATGCGTACCTTTTTCTGCATGTTTGTGAGCACTGAGTCTTAAAAGATTCCAATTTTCAGAGATTTTGGGGGGATAAAAGCGTTATTTATCATTAAGTATCGAACACTGGATTGCATGGGTGAATGTGTCTCTTAAGTTTGCTATGAAATGTGCTTGTTAATAGGATCACGTTCAATTGTATAGCTTCAAAATTAATTGGTGTGCTTTTCAAACGTTGAGACCAAAGTAGTGTAGAAGAATTATGGACTTCAGTTACTTGTAACTTCCTAGAGTGTGTTGTAGGGCTGCATTTATTAAAGAGCGGTGTCGGTGCATATGAAAGCTGGACTGGTACTGTCATGCTTGTGTTCTGATGTTCCGGGGGAGTGAGCCCCCCCGAAGCCTTACTTCAGGCCAGCCGGCTCCGCAGCTCTCGAGGACGTGGCAGTCCTGTTAGAAGTGACAGCTCCCATTCGTGTCTCGCTCGTTGAGGACTTCCAGCCAAGTGCACTCTTGGTGTTGAGACTCGGTGAGTTGAGTCAGTTTTTTGTTTGTTTGTTTTTCCCTTCAGTAATCCACAACCTGCTCTCTGTGTGGCCTGGGCCCTATTTATAATTCTTGAAATAAGGGTGGCCGGGAGCAGCCAAGTGCCGCAGTTTTCTCGGTGCTGTGCCCCATGAGCAGCCCACGCGGCATCTCGGAGCTGGAACTCTCGGCAGGCAGGAGAGTTGCTGGGTGCTGGGCAGGTGAAGCAGCCTCATCTCACCGTGAGTGGGTGGCTCGCAAGCCAGTAGATAGCAGGTGTCTGATTTTAAAGTCCAAGTACCAACTTCCCTCCTCCCCCAGTTCCCAGCCATCTTTCTTCCTGCTTCAGAATGAGGTTTCGCCAGACTGGGCCGGGCTCTGCTTCAGCGCCCTGCAGAGCGGGGTCATCTGGCCCCTTGCTCGTGCCCATCGTCACGGCTGAATTGGACTTGCTCCCTTGGGAACCGCCCCAGGTGGTGCTTGGCGTCCCTTCTCCCGTGAAGTGGCCTCATGCTGCAGGCGGGAAGCGATGCATTCAGGCTGCAGCTGCCGACAGATTGGGCGTATGTCCCTGAGAGGCAGCCTGCAGGAGGCTGAGGCAGGAGAATGTGCAAGCCCCAGACCAGCCTGGGCCACAACGTGAGTTCAAGACCAGCGTGAGCAGCGTGGTGGGACCAGTGGCCCCCATTTGGGAAGTAAGAAGTCTACGCTTTTTAAAAACTAAAGTGTGCCAGTAGCTTAAACATGAATTATTTAAGAATATGCTTCCTTTATCCCCCTCCCTTTCCCTTTAAAACTTACAAAATGAAGCTTATTTGAAAAAGTGTACTTTGCCATTGCGGGTGTGGTACGATGGGGTCGCTGGTGACACGTTCTTGTGGCCATGGCCTGTCACTAGCTGCTGAGGCCGTGGCCTTGTCCTTCGTGGTTTCAGATGTGTTTTGAAAGCATTATTGCTGTCCTCATAGAGCTTTTAAGGGATTTTTGTCTTGAGTCCTTCGTAGGTTGGCTCAAGTACTTTGTTTACAGTTCAAATAGACATCGTAGCATGTCGTGGAAGACACGGTTATGGCTTATCCGAAAGAATCTCAGCAAGACGTGGTGTGGAGTGAGTCCATGCTGTGCCTGTTTCACGATGTGGAAGGGTACTGAACCGTTCCGGACTTCGGTAGTTGTATTTCCTGAATAAATGTACGTTTATGAATTTTTTAAACTTAATGCTTGTTGTCGTCTTTACCAGTGGTTTGCTTTTCTTTTTCCTTGTCCAAAATTCACTGGTAGCACAGCCTCGTGGTGCGCAGCGACCCTGAGGCGGGGTCCAGCACCCTAAGTGGGTCCGCTGTGCACCCCGCTGCCCGAGAGCCCCGTGCCCGCTGCGCACCCCGCTGCCCGAGAGCCCCGTGCCCGCTGCGCACCCCGCTGCCCGAGAGCCCCGTGCCCGCTGCGCACCCCGCT